TAACCACGCCCTAATCCATTTAAGGATGTTACCTTTGATGCCATGAGCTTCTACCTTTCTAATTAGTCTTTCGTGGGGGACTCTGTCGAAGGCTTTGCTAAAATCGAGATATACCACATCCCTAGATCACGATTCTGAAAACTGATGAAAAGATGTTAATAGATTAGTTAGGCAAGAACATCAATTTATTGAAGCCATGTAGGAATCATTGATCAATCGGTGCTTCTCCAGGTGATTTCGAATAGGATTTAGAATAGTTACTTCCAGTACCTACTAATGATGTTGGGCTGATTGGGCGTGGTTAAGTCAGATCTATGTCACCTTTGAAAATCGGAATTACATTCGCTATCCTCCAGGATTCTGGTACTACACCTGTTTTTAAGGACATGTTAAACAACTTTGCTAAGGGCATACTAAGCTCTTCCTTACATTCCTTTAATACTCTGGCAAATATCCCATCGGGACCAGGTGACTTATTAGGCTTTAGTTTGTCTATTTGCTTACTAACATCGTTACTAGTCACTACTATCTCGCTTAATTTGTTTTCTTCACTATCTCTGAATAAAGTCGGTGCCTCAGGTATCATGTTTAAATTTTCGGTGGTGAAAACTGTTGATTATTCAAATTATTTCATTTCTCCGCTGTTAATAGTGAGCTCGCCGAGTCTGACCGATATCCAATTTTTTCTGTTTTAGTTTGATACATTTGGTAGAATCCTTTGGGGTTTGTCTTCGCCTCCCTTGCTATCCTTACCTCATTATTCCTCTTTGCTTTCCTTATCTCGGTTTTAACCCTACTCGCCAATACCCTATAATAGTCCCGGAGGTGAATTTCGCCACGATTTATCCTTCTACCTATAGCCTTCCTTTGGCCAATGATGTTCTTTAAATAATTATTTATCCATTTAGGGTCGTTGTTGTCTGATCTGAGTTTTTTGTATGGTATGTTCTGCCTTTGTGCATTAAGTAACTCACTATTTAAATTGTCGTGGAACTCGGCAATCTCAGATCTCGTTATCAGGTCGGTGTCATCTGCCAGGTTCACGGCCAAGCGCGACACCCCCTCTCTCAGCTGCCTCTTTAAACTGTCAAAGTTTGCCCTTCTGAAATCTGGTACTTTAGTGGAATTTTCCTTACGTCTGCCCTGAAAATCTAACTGGAATCGAATTTCTTTGTGATCGCTGTTTGCAAGTTCGTTCCCTACCTCGACATTGCTAATGAGGTTTTCTCTGTTTGACAAAACTAAATCCAATTTATTATTACCCCGTGTGGGTTCGGTTATATGTTGACTTAGGAAACAGTCCTGGATCGTCTCGAGAAAATCCTCTGATTTTGAGTTACCCGTAAGGTCGGTCCAATCTATTTGGCCAAGGTTAAAGTCGCCTACTATACAGACTTTGTTGTGTATGGAAGCCCTGCGCATTTCATCCCAGATAAGTCGCTCATTGACGCTATCAAGATTGTGGGGGTCTATATATTACTCCTGTGATTAATTGTTCCCGACCGTCGCTTAATTCTATCCAAATTGTTTCTGTATTCCTCTCAGTTTTTATTTCCTTATTTATTTCACACTTCAGATTATCCCTAACATAGATTGCTACTCCGCCTCCTTTCCTGGTCTGCCTATCGATATGGAACAGTTTGTAACCCGCAATTTGGTATTCGACTGGTAATTCACGTGTGTCTACTGTAAGTTGATCCATGTTTCAGTGAATGCAATTATATCGATTTCTTCGGTACATACCAAGGCCTTAGCCATCGACATCTGACATCTCCAGACCACAGCCTACCGTTACCTCAACCACCGACAACTTGCTCGTACCCTCGCCTCAGTATTCTTCCTCCTCAACCCTCCCCTACCCCACCTTTGTCAAGCAGAAGTCGCCAGTCGTCAATGTAAGTGTTATTTAAGATGTATTTGCTATTACTTTACTTTTACTTTTATCCTCTTCACCACTGATCGGCTCGTTAGCTGCTTGGGCGATCGGTTACTTCTCTGACTACTCTTCCTTTTCTTTTATCCTCTTCACCAAAAGATAGACGCGTTAGCCGCTTGGGCGATCGGTCACGTTTCTGTTACGCACTGTTGGCAAGTACTGGGCATGCACCGGCTCCTGAATGTACCTGAACCCGCTCCAGTGTTGGTCAAGTCTTGTCTTGAAAGAAATCACACTCGGTGCCGTCACAACACTTACTGGTAGAGTGTTCTAAGAATTTACAACCCTCACCCCGAAAAAGTTTGCCCTCACAGTTTTCTGGACCTGCGGCTTCTTCAATCTTGAGCTGTGACCCCTTGTGGGCCGAGCGTCCGCCAGCTCCAAGTAAGGACACTCGACTGAGTAGTGCCCCTTGAGATGCTTATACACCTCAATTAGGTCACCCCTTGCCCGTCCGTAGTATAAGCTAGGCAAGTTCAGGCGCTCCAATCTCTCAGGGTTCAGGTACATTCAGGAGCCGGTGCATGCCCGGGCGGCTAGCGAGCCGATCTTTTGGTTAAGAAGATAAATGAAAAGGAAAAGTATTCAGAGGCGTGACTGATCGCCCAAGCTTATAACGAGCCAATCAGTGACGAAGAGGATAAAAGTAAAAAGTAAAAGTGTACATTGTAAGCAAAGCATCAAAATTGTAAATGCATTTTGGGTTTTTACATGCTAAAGTTAAAGTTATAAAACTAAATAATTTAAAGATCATTGAAGTGTCATTTAATTACTCATTAATGGCTATTTTTAAGCCTTATTTACCATGTTTCCCTGGACAGCAGTTGGTTGCTCTCCTACATTTTGGTCGTGTACAGCACTGTGTGTTCTTCATTAAGGCTGTATTATTATATGACATGAAGATAGATATTTGAGTACAGTACTGTACATTGCAGACTCATAGTATTGAGTATTGTTAAGGTACATATAACAAAGGCTATCAAGACTTGATATTAGATGATATCATCAAAGTCTGGGTACATTACTACAGTGAGTTCTGCTATAACGCGTGTTTTCATAACGCGAATTTGCTCTAACGCGATTTATGAATTAGGAACGATATTTGTATAACGCGAATGCTTGTTTGCTATAACACGATTTTTGCTTACTATTTCTCCAATTTTGTGGTACAGTGGGGTATGCTATAATGAATCTAATTGGTTCTAGAACCTTGTTCGTTATAGCATTCGTTCGTTATAGGATTAATCCGTTCCAGGCCCCCAAATACAACCACTTAACACTGAAAAATATAATATAAAATTGTAAAAAAGTGCATAAATATGCATCTAAACCCCTGAAATAAAGAATATCATTAATAATTGTAATAAAAAAACAATAAATTAGAAAAAAAAAAAAAATCAATAATGTTCGTTGTAGGAGTTTCGTTCGTTATAGCATTCTCAATTTTATAGGTAAAACCGTTCGTTAGTAGGATCCATTCGTTATAGCATACCCCACTGTATTAACTGTGAATATAGTAAAGAAGAATATCAACAAGAAGCGTTCTGGTGATAGAATTCCCGGTGATGATCGTAAAAGAAAGGATATAACACTTGAAGAGAAGCTCGATTTTATCAACCTCAAAATCACCCTTCTCCCCCATCAAGTAAAGTGTTACATTTACTGTATGATTTCATTATTAGATATGAATGTAACATTTATTTAGACTGCTATCCTTTGTGTTAGGCTAACTACTAAATTTTTTCGATTTCGAGTAATCTGCACTTAACCCTATTTTCTCCATAAGCCCTGTTATTTCTATTACGCGATTTTCTATAACACGATATTTTACAAGAACACAATTATCGCGTTATAGCAGAACTACCTGTACTTCATGTTATTATATATACAGTCAACCCTCACTTTACGCGGTCCCACATTCCGTGTTTCCACGTTTACGCGGTACCCTGCCAGAACCCGGGATGCTCATATTCCGCGGTGCGTGTACCCCTTTACGCGGGTGAAGTATAATTTTTTTATTTAGCTCATAAAATTCATACAAATTACCCGGCCAGAATATAATTTACATTGCTGGAATTCTTACAATTTGATGATCATTTTGAATATAAACATCATAGATTTTGCATTAGACATACAAATTTTAGATCTAATGTAAGTATTTTGTTTACTCTGAGTAAATATGTTATCTTTTGTGCAAAATATATGAAGTGTATATTCAAAATATTCCTGGTCTTGCAAGGAATCCAGCAATGTCAATTATATTATCCTAACTTTAGTCTGAGGTATTATTTATTACTAAAAAGGTAAATATTCTGGTTTCTCCCACACATTTTTCTGGTAGGGAGGGTTGGCGGGGGGTGGGGGGAGGGAGGGACCGACCGACCATCTGGTGCGGCAAGAATATATTTTTTTTTTTATTAACTGAAGATATTTGTTTTAGCTCATAAAATTCATACAAATTACCCGGCCAGAATATAATTTACATTGCTGGAATTCTTACAATTTGATGATCATTTTGAATATAAACATCATAGATTTTGCATTAGACATGCAAATTTTAGATCTAATGTAAGTATTTTGTTTACTCTGAGTTAATATGTTATCTTTTGTGCAAAATATATGACATTTATATTAAAAATATTCCTGGTCTTAGAAGGAATCCAGCAATGTCAATTATATTATCCTAACTTTAGTTTGAAGTATTATTTATTACTATACCTTAAAATCTAGTGGTTTTCCCCCAAACATTTCTCAGAGAGGGAAGAGCCAGGAGTGTGAGAAGAGGGGGAGGGAGTTGAGTCCATTATTTGAATGGACATTAACTTGGTGACTGTATTTCTCTTAAGTATTAATTGTGTGCATGTACCATCATAAAATTAAGATGTTATTTTTACTAGAACATGGTATTGTGTCGGAAAAAGTGGGGTTTGGGGGTAAGCCGGTCTCTATTTTAATTAATCCCATATGTTTTGTTGTTCACTTTACGTGTTTCTCACTTTCCGCGGTACCCTGTGGGTTGAATTAACCGCGTAAAGTGAGGGTTGACTGTATTTTTTTTTTTCAGATGAAATGAAGAGGAAAGGCATAAGCACACTAAAACCTGGTCCTCTTGAGACAACAAGGCTGCATGTTGAGAGGGCTTGCCGACCCAATGTGTCCACTTTGGTGCCTAGCCTTAGCACTCAATACCAGCAAGTATGTTCTATTGTTAAAGTAAATTTTCACATTTTGTCTATATTTTTAAAGTTATGTTTGTGGTAGTAGGCAGCTACCAAACAGGGAGGTACTACCGCCTGGGAAGATATTGGAAGCATAATGTGTTGTCCAATGGTAGACCCTGCTGCCATATGGCATCACGAAAATTGTGACCAAGTCCCAGGTTGCTGATCTGTCTTTCTACCTCATTTACACACAATTGCAGGGTCTCAATTGTTTCTTTTACTTGACAACACAACATTTATACTGTACAATATAGCATTTCTTACTATTGAGTTTTTTCTATGTAGTTCTTTATTATTATTATTATTATTATTATTATTATTATTATTATTATTATTACAGTGTTATTATTATTATTATTGTTATCATTATTAATTTGTTTTACTTTTTATTATAAATTTTATTTACTATGAATAATTATTACATTTTTGGCCCCCAGGCCCCGATGTGGGTCAGTGACCAGTGCCCAGGTGGGCTAATCCCCATAAAAAAAAGAAAAGGTACAGCGGGTGGAGGGTGTACCTCTGCCACCCCTGCTCAGCGCTGGTGCTCTTGCTGCCACTACCCTTCCCCTGGATATAACCCATGTACAGTCACCCAAAAAAGTCCTGTTGCGAACCATGAACCCCGAGATTCAGACTCTTGAATCCGAAGCATTTATGGACAGAATAATGTATCAGAGTCTACTGCTTCGGTTCATGAGTCTGAATCGTGGTTCGCGACAGGACTTTTTTGGGTGAATGTACACCCGTTCCCTTTCAACCTCAACTTGTCCCTCCTCTGCTTCAAGCTCTGCAGGAGCTTCTTGTGCTGTTCCCTCTGCATTACCGTGCGATCTGGGTGAATGAATACACTGTGAGATGTCTCGCTCCTTGCTAAATTTTTTGCCTGCTGAATAATTTCCCTTTTCTTCTCCTCACTCAGAGGGCAGCTAAGTACAGTGGTCCCTCAGTTAACGAACACAATTCCAGAAGGTCGTTCGTTAACCGAAACCATTGTTTCAATGGGATTTTGGGTAATTGGTTCCATCTCACCGAAAATTACATACAAACTAAAAATAAATGCAGTAAAGTACACTTACTTTGAGGTGTGCATGTAGAAGGCTCCTGGTTGATGATAATGATGATGGGAATTAGAAGTGGGGGTAGAGGAGAAGGGAGAAGAGGAGGCAGTGGGGTGGAAGAGAAATCACCCCATGCTTCATGCCGCCATTTCACCCATAAAATATTAAGTTCACTTGGTGTAATTCAAGATTATTTTCTTTAAATCAACACTGCACTGCACTATATATTGTCAATATGTAAAATAAATTTCAGAATGACCAATAATTGTACAATACTGTAAAAATGTAAAAATAGTTTATGTTCAAGAGAGTCTCAAGCAAGATGCTTCCTCCACTGAGCAGAGACACAAACTGACGCCATTCTGGGTGAGACAAGTGGTTTGTTTGGCGTGCTAAAAAATAGTTCCCTGTACTTCAATTATGTTAAATAATTGTTAAAATGACTAAAAATTTTATTATAAGACTTGGAAAATTATTGAATAGTACAACCTTCTTGATATTTACTCAAATGGTAACGAATTTAAGCCCTAAAACCGATTACTGTATTGGCGGACTAATACTACAGCTGGTGAGCAGGCAAAAGCAGGCGAAAACATGTTGACACGATTTCATAAGGATTTCGTTCACCGAATTTTTTTCATTAACTGAATTGAATATTCTTATGGAAGGTAATTCGTTAACCGATGCATTCGTTAACCGAGGGATCACTGTACTGTTATTTTTTCTTTATTTTTAAATAGGTTTAGATCTACACACACACACACACACACACACACACACACACCATGAGGGATTTGATATGTGATTACTGTGGGGGGATGAAGGATATGGATGATACAGGCCTGACCATTGCAACATTTAGGATGATGCAAGCTGCCATAAAGCATGAACGCTGTTGCTGGTATTGCCCTGACTGCACAGTCAAGATGAAAGAGGCGATTGCAAGCCATAGGGGAACGAGTTCCCTAAGGACAAAAATAGATGTAGCTGGATCCTTGCCGGTTGCCAAACTAGAACAAGTTGGGAAAGAGATCCTTGCTAAGACTGAGGAAGTGGTCAATAGAATGGAGGTGGTTGCTAAGAGGAGTTATGTTGAGGCATTAGCAGGGCCACGGGAGGTGGCGGAGAGTAATGCTGGATCAGAACAGGTTCTACAGCAGCTATGGACTCTGAAGGAGTGTGTCGAAGAAATAAACATTAGCGGACCTACTGTTAGGGAATAGGAGGAACAACAGAAATGTTTCCAGCGCAGGAACAATGTAATAGTTTTTGGAGTTTTTGAGAGCCAGGCGGAGGGAACTGAGAGTAGGATAACACACGATAAGATGCAGTTTAAGAATATTTGTACAGAGGTTCTGAAGATACCATCACCCCCTCAGGATGTGAGGAGGCTGGGACAAAAGCAGAGGGATAAGCCTCGCCCCCTCAGGATCACACTAGTGAGTGAGGAGGAGAAATGGGAGGTTATTCGGCAGGCAAAAAACTTAGCAAGGAGTGAGGCATCTCGGAGTGTATTCGTTCACCCAGATCGCATGGTAATGCAGAGGGAACAGCACAAGAAGCTCCTCATAGGCTTGAAGCAGAAGAGGGAGGAGTCAAGGAGGAACGAGGATGGTTGTACATGGGTTATATTCAGGGGGGGCGGGGTAGTGGAAGCAAGTGTGCCGATACAGAGCCAGGGGGCAGCAGCGCACCCTCCACCCACTCTACCCCAACCCGGGAGGTGGCACCAGTGCTGCCTATCAGCCGGGAGGAGACGAGCGCCGTGTAAACAATGGCATTTCTAACCACACCCTGCAAAATAGTGTTATTAGCAAATGCTGCAGCTTCTGAGAATGGAGGGAAGCTGGATTTACTACTAAGAGCGGAGACGTTACCGAGAACAAATTCTGGCTTGAATGTAACGTACTGTACACTAATTCGAACATGTTCCTTGATAAGAGAGAGGAATTTGAAACACTACTGAAGGAAAATCAACCCAATATAGTAGTTGTAGAACTGTTGTGCAAGAATAGGAGAATCGACCCAGAAGAATGCGAGTTTAGTATTGACAGATATGACTTATTTACAAACCTTCTTTCTGAAGTAACTTGCAAGAAGGGAGTGGTTATCTATGCTAGGCAAGACCTTAGAGCCATCCAGGTGAGGGTACAGGGAGAGAATGTTTTTGAAGAATCAAAGTGATGTAAGATTAAGTTGAAGGGAGGAGCTGCACTTATTGTCGGGTGCCTCTACAGATCCCCAAACTGCAACTTACCAGACCAAAGGAACTTAAGAGCCTTAATAGACAATGCAACCATGCTCAGCCTTAGCCATCTCCTTGTCATGGGGACTTTATCTATGGCAACATCGACTGGAGAAATGAGACCGCGCCAAATGACCTAAATTACCCTGCTACTCTTTTTGTAGTAACTGAGAGATAATTTTCTGTTCTAACATGTTAAAGACCCGACACATTACAGAGTGGAACAAACACCCAAGCCACTGGACCTCATCATAACAAATGAGGAGGGTATTTATTTATTTATTTATTTTATTTATTTATTTTTTTTTTTTACAGGGATTAGCCCACCCGGGCACATATCACTGACCCACATCACGGCCTGGGGGACGAAAAAAAAAAATAATGATAATAATAATAATACCTGTAATAAAAATTAATAAAAATTATAATAAAAAATAAAATAATAACCATTAATAAAAAATAAAAATAAATAAATAAATCAAGAGTGGGAAATGATATACAGTATGTATGTTGTGTTGTCAATGGTAAGAGAAACAATTGAGACCCTTCAATTGTGTGTAAATGAAGCAGAAATTCAGATCAGCAACCTGGGACTTGGTCACAATTTTTGTGATGCCATATGACAGCAGGGTCTACCTTTAGACAACACATTATGCTTCCAATATCTCCCCAGGCAGTAGTACCTCCCTGTTTGATAGCTGCCTACTACCTACCACCTTGTATGGTGCCCAAACTGGAACATCTAACCCCAGTTGGCACCAGCCACCATGTAATACTGTCTTTCAGGTTCAATTGTTACTCGGTGCACGACATAACCAGGCCAAGGTACAAATATTACAAGGGTAATTATGAGGGGTATCCACTGGCCTGACTCACTAAGGCATACCGTATATCTCGGTCTATAAGGCGTCGGGGTGCATAAGACGGACCCCCCAAATTTCCATTTAAAAAGTAGCTTTTGAGCTCTATTCACTGTATAAGACCAGTACCCCAAATGTGACACTTACCTACTGACTCAGTAGTCCTTTACCAACCATCCTTGGTTTTTTAAAATAAGGCCAATTCACTTCAAGTAATGTCATCAAATGTTACCCGCTGGTGTAGTGTAAACACTAGTGACGTCACTTAAGCGTCTGTATTTAACTGTCAGTAGTTTCAAGAAATAATGCAGTCATTTACTGAATATTCCTTGTAAAAAAATATATTTTAAATTAATTATTTATAGGAGATACCGGGTAAGTATTATCAGTAAATATACCGATATGCATTACTGACCACCTCCACGGCTAAAAATAGCCCAATCTCGCGGTCACTTTCCCTTTCTTGTCTCCTCACTGGCATATGGGGAGGGGTGTGTGATGATAGCTGTGTTTATTACAGGGGTATAATTCTCTTTTACGGTATGTTAGACAGGTTTATAATACATTTTTATTATTTTAATATACCGGTAATCTTAATTTGAATCCAGCTTGCCAAACGTAAGTTTCAGTATAAAATAATTAGTGGTAAGACCTTGTGAGTGGCTTACGATGCTTCCATCACCACTCTTGACACACTAAACCACAATATTTAAGAGGTAAGAATTTTATACTTGGTGGTTTAGACGACCCCCTAACTTTGGGCAGATTTTTTTAATGTTCAAATTCCGTCTTATAAGCCGAGATATACGGTA